TTAACTACTGAAGCCTAAAAAATTATTAAAAAGAAAACAGCTAGCATTCATATGTAAAGGCCATAAGTCTATGTGAACATAGGGTGCAAGTGGTTAGCCCGAGATTGACAAAATTTAAGCTCAACATATAAGGCGCCAAACTCAAAATGAGTTTAAGGCTTTTATATATTCAGAAGATTGAACATTAAAAAATGTGTTTCGAAAAAATACTAGAATTGATTTTGCCATCTAAAAAGCTTAGTCAGTATAAACTGGTAGCTAATATCATTGGCTGTTAGCGCAACCCTTATAGCTAATGAAATTCTGAGGGGAATGATTCCGTTCATACACAAACTACAATCAAAATCATCATCATCAGCGGGATAGCGCATAGGTTCGTCAAATTGCAGGTAAGAAATATGCCAACTTTCAGTAAGGAAAATACATATATAATCAAATTTTAAAAAAGCGAAGTCAGTTAGCAGAAATCTATGAATGAAGACAGATTAAAAAGATTATCCAGATACAAACTCAAAAAGGTTGGGTGAGCTAACTACGTACACTGTCCCAATCCCAAACGTCTTCCTTAACAGTTTCCCCACTGTATATATTCTTTCAGTCTTTCTCTCTCACGGACTCACACAGTCACGTTCTTCGTCATACAATTATATGCACAATTTCATACTATATATTTATATTTATATTTATATTATGGCGGCTGAGCTCAGTAAGATTCGGCCACTTGTCAAATGGCCAAATTGGTTTCTCAGAGGATAATATTCCACCAAGGAATACGTCACGGTTGGGCAGTTTTTACTGGCTACATTTTTATTTTTATTTTTTTTTGGTTCCTGAGTTTTTAGATTGGGTAAACTGATTCGTTCCAATGATCTATCATATTTGGTTTTGATCTGTTCCAAACAATCATCTTGTATACGTACGTTTTTTTTTAACCCTAAAAAAAAAAAACCTTTTTCATAACCCTAAGACTATGAAATGTTTTAATATAGAAAATATTTTATTGAGATAAATAACGAATATGGGTTAAAAATGTGAGACTCATCAAACTCGATAAACGGTTTAAAAGTGCTTTTGGGTTGTCTAATTTGCCTGACCACTTGCCTCGTTAATGACTCGACAAAGTATTTTTAGCATATTACACGATCAGTATCTGAAATTATTATCTCGAAGAATTTACATAACTCATGCATGAACCATATCAGCAGCCACTCCTGAGTGAGTCTACATATTTTGAGCCTATAGTTGGAGGTGAATATGATGATGATGATGATGATGAAATATGAGCCGGTGAAGGAGCGTGTTGTTACATCCAACTTGAATGAAAGTTTGAAGACTACGTTAATGTTTTTTGGGGGGTTTTGTCCGTATCTCAAACCGTTTTGTGAAGGTCTCGTCATACTTTACCATTTAACGGAAAGATATCAATCAACATCTAAAGGGGGGTAGAGAGTAAAGGGCAAAAGGCACTACTCGCAAACCACACACATGTGTTCCTTTTTTCAGATTTTCTTTCATTCAAATTCATTCTATCATTCATTCATATATTAAGTGGTTTCAGTCCCCCTTCAGATTTGATAACTCACTACTACGTACCCCCTTTTATTGTCGTCAGCTTTAGCCAAATTTGGGCAGAGTTTCGTTCTCGAATGATTAATTCCGTCCATCATTTTGAGGAATAAATCTTGTATACAACTGTTCTACCACGTAGATGATATAACCTGATTCAACTGTACATAATTTGTTGATTTTGCAAGATAATACTTATCAAAATAAACAAAATTATTTTTCTATTTTTGTTAATTTGATCCATCATTGGTCTACTCCACTATTTTCAATGGTGCAACAACAGCTGTATAGTTTTTGTTTTCCTCTTTGAGACTCTCATAACTATTAGCTAGCCTTACCCTGATAAGGGATTCAGGTAGTGCATGCTTATCCTTATTTGTTGAACATTGAATCGGAAAGGGTTTTTGTTCCATCGACAAATATTCAATTTTGATTTGATTATGATTCGTGGCCTTAAATGGTTGATTTTATCTTGCTACGAAGATCTTTAATTTTTAGCTACTTTTGGTAATTGTAATTAGTCAACTGTTTGCAAAAATGAAGGAAAATGGAAGGACGGAAATCTTGCTATCATTTCATGCAAATAGGGGAAATTTTTTGGAGAATGAATGGTACTCCATTAAAATTACCTACTAATGATGGTCCTTTTGTATGTGAAGTGCGTACGTAGGGGATAAGATCAAATGTGTTGAGGCCTAAAGGATCATCTTCAAAACTGAATAACAGTTTAAATTTGTGTTGTACTAATTGAACCCGAAGGAATGACAACATTTTATTAAGTAACAGGGAATTATATATAATTTCGACTCCGTTAGTAAAACCATATGGGTTAAAAAATTATTATTACTAAGATATGAGTGATATATTTAAAAGTGAAGCTTAAAATGTCATGGGATTGTTACTAAGAATCTACAAATAGCAAAGAAGACACAATTTGGAGAGCCCTATTAAAAAAGACGGTTTGAGACTTTGAGGTGGTAGGGATGGAGGTAAGCCCTGATGGGTCTTATCCAATGGACGACAACTGATAAAACCGTCTCCATTCAATTAAAAGACAACAGAAACACACACATTTTCCATATTTTTTTCAGGTACTACCGTTACGTACTTTGTAACTTTTGTTCATATAATATCCTTCTTTCTTTTTCTTCTTTTTTTTTTTTTTTAAATGTTCATATTCTTCATATAAATTCAGTTAATCTAAACGATATGCTGTCTGGACGACAATAATCATCAGCTTTTTTTTGACATGTGTTATACATTATATACATAGAGGCAAAATATGATAATAAAATCATAGAAACGATAGGTTTGGCAGACTCGGTATGCGGTATTAGCTAGTAGCTAAGGGTATGTTTATTTTGTTTTTTCAGTGTGTGTTTTTAGGTGTTTTTTGTATTAAAAATGTAAAAAAATGTATTGTAAATATAAAAAGGTATGTTGGAATAGGACATTTATTATTTTATTAATCTAAAAAAACCATAAAAAAACTAAACAAAGGTATGTACGTATGATCCTCTAGTGCAACAAATTAAAAAGGTTTAGTGGACTTTGGGTTAGCTCTTTTTCTTTTTCATTTTTTTTTTTTTTGGTTGGAACGCGCGCTCTTTCTTAGAAGTAGCCCGCTTGGTGTTGTTGGAGGGTGGCTAATCTCGCAATGGGATAGTGTCTAATAAGTTAGGGATTTCTCGATTTTCTTAGTTCTTACTGAATAGGAGGAAAAAAAAAAGGAATAAAGAAATTAGTAGGAGTAATATTCAATAAAAATATACATTCTTATTAGGTGTATACATATTGTGCACATCCTTAAAAGCCTATTTCCTGAACACCTCTTGTAATCCCGTGTTATCGTCCTAACTTGGTTTCATTATGAATGGCAAATTCTTACTGTTGGATGGCGACATTACTCGGGCGTGTACTTTGTGCTATATCATTGCAAATTTTCATGAGATTTTATCTTTCAACTATCATTTCATCCATTATTAATCAGATATTCTCTGCGATACTAAATATAATAGTAATTCATTTTGCTGTATTGATGGGAGAATATACTTCTTTGGATGAATTTTTTTAGTCCCTCACATGACAAGGTATACTAGTTCTAAACTCATTTCATTTGGCTAACTCACATATTATTCGAAGAAGTAATCTCAGACAGTGAATACGTAATCTACCAGTAAAACCTATTTCATAAAATATAAGTGGAAGTTCTTAGAACTATTTATTTTCAGTTACTTATAAGCGAAACCATAAGATGTCCAAATGAAGAAGGCTGCTGTTGCTACATTATTTGATGAGGACACTAACTTTAAATTCTACGCTTAATTTAGCTTGAGGCAGAGGGCTAACTAGCTCTACAGCTGTTATACTAAAGTTTGATTGGTTGACATGGTCAGTTAATTATTTATCAATGTGGATATCCACCGTCAATTTTTTTTTTTTCTTTCTTTCCCCTCAAATATTAAATGACCAACATGTGATTTTCTTCCATTTCTCAACCTAAAATGATGCACAACGCTACAAAAATGTGCAAAGCTTGGTTTAGTCCGAGACTGATTAAGTTTTCGAGAGAGTGACAATTTATCCCCAAGAGCCCCCCCTTTTTTTTTCTTTGACTTATAACAACCATGGAACAAGAGTACTTAAAGGAAGTGCAATGTTAAAAGAAACACATTTACAGACAATCATTGAATTAAGTAGTATCGTCAAATTATCTCACGTCTGATATAAACAAAATAATTATCGATATTTCTTTGTCTCAAAATATATTCATCTGAATCGAATAAAAATTAATCATTACTAATATGGAGCTTTTCTTTTTTTTTTTTTCTTTTGGAAATGAATGTAGTCGAGCCTCGCTTAACTTCGTAGCAGATAATTCCAATCTTACCGGTATTATCATGATGTTAGTTTCTCCAACTAGATATTTTCGTATTGAAAAAAAAAAAATAGAAAAAGAAAAAAGACGGCAACATTCCTCGTTGCATCAGAGAAGAATGGGGTGTTGATGACGTGGCAAGAACACGCCGGTGGGACCTCGACTCAAACAATGATGTGTTAAGCCATGTGGGCCTAATTCCTCTGCGTCATCTTGTGAATGAGGGGTTGGGAATTAGGGCCCCTAACATGCTACGTTTCGATGGTTTAACAATCCAACAAATTTAGATGGGTCCTTAAAAAAATTTTTGGACATCACCTCTCTACCTTGCTAGGCTTCATTTTTTTTTCTAGTCCCAAGTTTTTGGAGCCAAAAAAAAAAAAAAGTTTACAATGGTCACAATTGATTGAGTGATGCGATTTGTATTGTAATTTTGCTACTGTTCGATTCTCGATCGTATTTAGTGTTACAAGAGGTCTCGAGATCAAATAACAAAACTAAAAGAAAAAAGAAAGTAATATGAACTGTAAATGAGAAGTAAATAAAAAGTTATTCAGCCGGAATGAAATGGTCATTTCTCCGATGGATATATAAACCAAAAAAAAAAAAAAAAAAAACCTGCATTACATGAAAGCTATGGAATCTTTGCGGCGAGGCAAACTCTAAAAGATTGATTTGAAATGGCGGCTTACGTTGCTTAATTATTACAGGCCACATCTCAATCCTTTCTTCCAAATAATGACACCAAAAAATAACAATACTTCAATTGACTGCAGAAAAAAAAAAAAAAACAATTTATGTACACAGAGTCACAGCTTTTTAGTTTTTACCTTTTACCCCCCAAATATCACTAATCTAACTAATTCTTTCTATCTATTTTTTTTTTCTTTCTCCACCGGCTCTGTTTTTTCATTTTTTTAATGGTCTGAAAAACCATGATAATATAATCAATAATTCCAGAGATAATCAAGGTCCACCTGCCCAACTGTAGGGATTGGACAATCTTGGTAGCCATGAGGCTTGAAATCAGTTCCATGGTCGGAAGATGACGTGTCCGTGTCCTGAGACATCTCCGTTTTGGCATGATGCCGGACGTTTGGTCCATAGTCCTCAAGCAGAAGCTTCAGAATGGATTGATCCTGCATGTAAATGGAATCGGGAAAGTGCAAGGTTTCTGTGTACGGTAAGAACTGAGATGAAAAATACGAATTCTGAGTTGACAGTTTTGGGAACTGAAAGGAAGCAGGGGATGATGAAGAAGCTATTAATGAAGGGTTATTGTTGTTTGTAGGAATATGGTGAGGCTTTTGGTCTTCCATTTCCATTTGGTTTGGAAAACAGGCCATCTGGGATGGCTGATCAGTTCCAATAATTCTTGTTTGAGCTTCATCAGAGGATAACTCCATCAATGGCGGCAATTCAGAACAGCCGGAATCGTCACCGTCGTTATTGATTGACCTCTCTAACCCAGAAATATGTATCTTCTTCCCTCCTGAAGTCTTTTTAAACACTCTACAGATTACCCATTCATTCTGTGGTAACAAAAAAAAAAAAAAAAAATCAGCCAAAGAAATTTTCAACAAGAAGCAGGGGATATTTTAAACAGAACCAAAAACAGGGGAATTTTACCTTTGCAGATTTGGAGATTCCGTGGTAAGAATTCTTGCCCTCAACTCTGTATTCGTGCATCACCCAATTGGTTTTTTGTCCTCTGGGAGCTCTGCCTTTGTAGAAAACCAGAGTTTTCTTCATCCCAACAAGTGTTTTTCCTCTGAAAATTTCCTTGTCTTTCCCAGTTGCCTTCCAATATCCAGCCTCTGTTGCTCTGTTCGTCCTCAACCCTGTTGGATATTTTCTGTCTCTGACACAGAAAAAATACCATTCCTTTTCACCCATTTTCGCTCTCCCTGCATCATTTCAAAGCTTCTTTGTCAGTCAAAATATATAGATTTTTTTTTTTTTTGGTGAAAAACCAAGATAAAATATCATTACAGAGAGAATTTTCCCAACTTACATGGTAAATCCCAAGGTTCAACCTTGTTTAAGTCCACCTCTCCAATTGCTCTGGAGATGAAACCATTATCAACAATTTTTGGGTTCAGGTAATAAGTAATAAGCTCCTCATCAGTTGGATGAAACCTGAACCCAGGTGGCAATTCCATCCTCTCTTCATCATCTGTTATTGCAGAGACATTCTCCATATTTTTATTTTTTATTTTTTGCACAAATTTGAGTGAAATCCTAGAGCTCTAACAAACAAATATGGCCTGAAGAAGCCACTAAAAAAGAAAGAAGAAAGCTTTAGATAGGAGCAGAACAATAAGAAAAAATAGAGTATTATTGGTATTGTTTTTTTGGCCAAAGAGGATAGAACAAAGGTAAGGGTAGAAAGGTTGAAAGTTGGCGTTACGAGAAACACAACTGCTTAAATAGTGGTTTTTCACGAGAAAAAGAAGCGTGGTTTGTAAGGAAACTTGGTTTGGTAGTTTTTATTTTTTTATTTTTTTTAAAAAAAGAATAAAACTAAAATATTTATTATGTTAATAATTTGACCACGAAGAAGTTATGTTCATACGCTGTGGTATATAATTATATATGTATTTTGCAGATGATATATAGTAGTAATTGAAACCAACTCTTTATTTAAGTCGTGTTAAATTAACCAAAGGGTTTCAATCATATGTACAGTTATTAGGTGAAAGAAATAAGGGGATAAAAAATTTATTAAAAAAAAGGGCAGAATGCTACTCACTGGATCTCAGTTAGTTGGTCATTTGTTTAACCAAAGATATCTACTTGCAACAATATTATTGCAAGATCCACAACTACCTCTAGTAGAACTCGATTCCATTTTATTCCCTTCGTGTTAAACAAAACAAAGATATGACTATCAAAAGCAACTTACGTACTTGAATTGATTGTTCCTATGTGACACACGCTCTCATATCATTAACAACTACCTCGTTAGACTACGAAATTCTCATAATATTAATTAACTACTCGATCTGTCTTAAAAATAAGAGTTTCATTTATTTTGTATTCTCATCGTTCCAGCTTAGAAATATTGTCAGAACCGTCAATACTAGCTGATCGAAGAAAACATAATTAGCCCATTATCTAGTTATGTTTTGTATTTAGAGATTAAAGATGCTAGATAATAATATCCGGTCCGAAAATAATAATTTTGAAGTTTTACGGAACAAACCTAACACATTAATTGGAGTATGTAGGATACATAGGAAAAGTTACCACCATCTAAAGTATCCTGAATCTTAATTATTGCTTTGCCTTCCTTTCTGCACGGAAAATGATATTTCAAGGGCTTGAATCAAGTTAAAGTCATATATAGTTCACACATAGCTAGTCCACCAGATATAAGGAGGAACTGGATTTATTACGATTGAATAATTATGGGTTCTTAAAACTGGATTAATTAGGGAGATTCATGCTTTCGTGTTTACACGGAGGAAAGAGTTGAAAAAAATGCGGCTGACTGAACTACTAAATGCCAACTTGTTTTAATCTCCCTGAATATTAGTAGTACAAAAAAATTAATGTTTACTTTTAATTCAAACCCAGATAAAGACTTTCTCTCATGCGCCAATAATTTCTCAAAGTGCACTCTATACTACCGTACTAAACTAATGTGGTTTAACTGAGTTCACTCCCTCTTGAATCCGAGGTGTAAACCTTATCGCCAACTGCCTCGGTTTTTACCAACAACTCCGGCTGATTGGTTAGGCTTTTGAAACCAAGAAAATTTAAGGTTGCGAATTGAAGGGAAAAACAAAATTATTTTTAACTCCTATGTTCTTCGTAATTATAAAATTAAAACCCTCTATATGTGATGCATTTTACGTTACATTTATGGAATCATTAAATTACTATTCTTTCTGGTCCTAAATATGAATCGAAAAATAATTTTAGTACTCTCTCTGGTTCTTATTATAAGCCATTTTGACTTTTCTTAGCTTTAACCTAGTACACATTTTTCATTGACAAAAAAAACTTTAAAAATATTTCATAATAATCAAGTGAACACCACAAATGTAAAAATATAGTAGGTGAAATTTAGGACAAATCAAAATGCTTGTATTAAGAACCGGAGGGAGTATTATTTTATGTCTTATTATTAGGATTGGGAGGATTTTAATTATGACACAACCTGTGACGGAAACGAATACCTGAACTGCGGTTAATGGCTTGCGTACAAAAAACAATCCTTTGGTTCCCACTTGTAGTTTGTGTACTACTGCTTCCAAATTTCTATCTTCCTCGAAAGATTCCGGCCAAACCTTTTACCATATCTTCCCTGGTTGCCTATTAGAAAAATACCAATACGATCGTAAGGTTATTACGTAGTATACCTCGTACGCTTGTAAGTTGTAACCTGATCGTCACAAAGAACACGTCCAATAATCGAATGTCAAATGTATACTACTTGTGCATTTTTTTCTCTTTTTTTGTTCACCGCCCACAACCATTTTTTCCTCAGAAAGTGTTTAAATTAATGTTTTTCCTGACACGGTTAAAGAATTTTTCGAAGAAGAAGAAGTTTCAATTATTAGGGGAACAATTATCACATACTATGGTAAGGGGACGGCAGCATTTTCGCTAATCCCACGGCTAAATTCGCGTTCTGACTTCTGACAGAAGAAAATTGAGAATAGAATAAAAACGGAATACAATTTATTATTATTATTATTATTATTATTATTATTATTATTATTATTTTATGGTACTGTTGTCGACAGTGGACACCCTGCAAATATATAAAAAAAAATTAATATGGATTTATTATTTTCTGGTTTAGACAAATTATACAAATTGGAAGTAACGTGCAACTAGCTACTCCTATTTTTTTATATGTCTTTCTAGAGAATTCATCAAAATTAAGAAAATATTAAATAATGTAGTTAAAATACAAAAATATCCTTATTTATTTTTTATACAATTCATCACAAGTCAATAGAAATTCATTATAAATATTGTTTCATTCCCAATACAGGGGTAACATGGTAAAAAGTGGTCAAAATATGCCTCGATTTGTGAAAACGACATATATTTAAAAAAATTCACCAAACCCTAAAATGACATATATTTCAAAATGGAGGGTGTACAAAGCTGAAGTCTTTTGGGTTTTGGCGCGACTGGTAAGATTCCTTATCATCCAATGGTTACAGAATATATTATCCTTAAGCATAATTAATTAGCTACTAAGCTTAAGTAGCTATATTATATGGACCAAAAAATGATTAAAAAATTCGAAGCTTTTTGAATCTGGAGTGAGGAGATGATGATTAAGATCACTAACTCCACTTTTTGAAACCGTATTAATCTTTCGTCCTCTTGTGACTTTGTCCTGTTTACATTAGTTACATTAGTTTCCCTATTGTCAGGCATCACGTAATTTGGAGAATTATCCTATCTAAATCATCCCAACTCTTTCTCTTTTCGATTGTGATATTTTACATTCTTAATATTCTCATTGAGAAATGATCTTCTTCTATATAGTATGCGGTAATAAATTATTAATCTTTCTCTTTTTTTAGTGAGCTTCGTTGATCGAATTCCATGAAGGACGGGGCGAGACTTTAATAAGATTTATTAATATTCTTATTCATTTATTTGTTATTACTTGGTAACTCTTATGCCAACTACGATTTTTTCAACTTGAATAAACTGAACTTATTTTTTGATGTCATTTGTAGCACAGTAATCATATAGCTATAAACTATTTGCTTGATTTAAAGTGAAGCTGCCTGTATGGGTCATTTTTAAACGAGTTAGTGCAGATATATTTGACTCAAAAAATTAAACAAATAGAATTCAGACAAAATGTCATATAATTTATTATACTACTCCGTCATTTACTCTCTCCGTCTCATAATAATAAAAAAAAATTTTCTCGGTGAAAGAAAACCCTTACTCCTAATTACGGCAAACCATCGGAAAACATGGTCTACAATCCACAAAACTGCGAACATGCCTTCTAAAGAAGCCTGTAAGTACTGATCATGGAAAACGAAAATTTTTTGACGGTGATTGTAATGAAACAAATTAAAAGTTGCAAAGGAAAACGCCAAATTAACTTCAAACTGGTCCCTAAAATTGTCAAAGCCGTGCAATATATATCTACTTTTTATTGAACACAACAATTTCAAATTCTTGGGCAACTCTTGCGGATCGCACTGTTTAGATTAAGTCTTAAATCATAATCAAATAATAATCATGCTCTCTAAATAAAGATTAATTAAATTAATTGATCGCGCCCGTCACTGTCGTCCGCAGAAGCTACCCGATAAACACTATGTATATGCTAACTATGGCCACCTATAATTGGACAATTTCCCTCCTTATTCCTTATAGTTGAGGTTTTCAGTGGGCTAAAACTTTAAAGAAGTGCACCGACCCTAAGTCTTTAAATAAATTAAAACATTGACTAATGACTTTTAATTAGCTGAACTGGCATTTATTCTAGAAATTGGTTTCAATCCATCCAACATGAGACCTTAACGGGGAGCAAAGCACGTGCCCAATTTTGTTCGTTAAAAGTCCAAATTACTTGTAAGAAATGTTTACAGTCGATGTTACTACGTTCTTCCTGCATATATACTTTTCTTAATTTCAATCCATAGATATTAATAATTCAGTACATATATAATATAGTAAGTGAAAACGAGTTTATGATCTCATTTGACCTGAGTACAACATAATATGTGGTAATGAAGTATCTGATTATGTTACAATACGCTTCATCAGTTGAAGAGAAATTAAATGTAACCTTGTCTCAAACTCTCTCAATGAATCATGAGTTTAAAGATAAAACCTAATCTAAGCACTTACAAGCTTGTGATAAACCTTCCCACTAGGTGACAAAAAAAGCAAAAATGAAAAGGCAAAAGAAAAAAATATCTACCAAAATGGTTCCTAAATATAGTGATTTTGCATACCAAACATAAGTACCTCTTCCCATTTTTGGAAAGAAACTAATCCTTATCCCTTTCTTGCTTTTATAATGGTTCGCCATTTTGACCCCTTCAGTCATGTATCTTTGTACTTGTGCTCCCCTTTGGCTTCCCACCAACCTAGAATGCTCTAAATTCTTGAAATATCTTACTCTAATAATTGATTTGTGTGCACTGAATCAGAGACCCTTTTGGTTTTTGTCATTGGCCTAACTACAGCTTTTTCAATTATTGACTGAAAAAAAATTAATAAAGCGGGGAAAGGCTAACTTTTGAATTTCTTAATCTGGGGTTCAAGACATGAAAAATGAGGCTTGATTAACACAATTAATGATCGGTCGATGTGTATCCTTTTCAGAAAATTTTAGGTGGATTTTGACTTAAGACTAGATTAGTATTGCCGACTAGTTCTTACACGCACAAAGATGATAAAAGAGAAGGAAAATGCCAAAGTAAAGTTTGGGGAAAGTTATTGGTACCGATTACAGGAAATCCTCTTCGGTGACGAGGATTAATGAAGCTTGACTTATGCTAAACTGTTCTTCAAAATCGATCAATAAGGAAATTTACAAGGTTGGTTAATAATGATATGATACAACCTAACTACTCCTTTCATTTTGAAATATATGTCGTTTTAGGGTTTGGTGAGTTTTTTTAAATATATGTCATTTTTACAAATCGAGGTACATTTGACCATTTTTTACCAATGTTACCCTTGCATTGGGAATGAAACAATATTTATAATGAATTTCTATTGGTTTGTGATGAATTGTATAGAACATAAATAAGGATATTTTTGTATTTTAACTACATTATTTAATATTTTCTTAATTTTGATGAATTTTCTAGAAAGACATATAAAAAAAATTGGAGATTGTAGTATTTCTCCTTGTTTGAGATAATATAGTCTACGTCCTTGTTGAACTATTTTAGTCTAGTAACATTAATTTTCTTAGTCAAGGAGTGTATTAGGGTTTTATATATTTCAAGTTAAGATATAATAACCTCAATTAATATGTCATTAATCTATTAGTGATAAATATACAACTTTGGAGAAAATAATAATAAATTAAGAAAAACTGACCGTGGGACTTGAAAACAAGTCCACAAGATTAAGTTTTTTGTTTGGACAACCCGAATTTTGCTATTTGTCTCATTTTTACCTCTTAAAATACATCTTAAACACAAATCCCAATACTATTCAAACAAATTTTTAATTTACTTTTTAAAATTTATTTCAAACATTATTTTTACACCATTTTTTTACACCACCACGAGACCACCTCCGCCGCCACCGTCTGTCGCCGGACCGGCCACTGCTGCCACCAGCCGGTCGATTTCCGGCCAGATTCCGGTGGCCGGTGGTCCGATGGTGATTTAAAAATATTATTATTTTATTTAAAATATTACCCAAATAACATTTTAAATTTTCTCTCAAAACACATTTTAAATCACATATCAAAACCAAATCAAAAACTAAAACAAAAACAAAAACAAAATGTTGGCCAAACAAGCCCTTAGTCTTGTGCTCTACCTATGTTTGGATCGTTTTTTTCAGTGTGTGTTGTTAGGTGTTTTTTGTATTAGGAATGTAAAAAGGTGCATTGAAAATATAAAAAGGTATGCTGGGATGAACAATTATTATTTAATTATTTTAAAAAAACCATAAAAAAAACCTTCCAAACATATATAGCAGCTTGAACTTTTTCAATTCCATAATACTGTACGTAATACTAAAAAAAAGTTTACTTTGACTTTTGAAGCCACATTGAGGTTTTTCATTTTTATTTTTTGGGCATAAAGAGTTTCTCGCTAAAAAAACACAAAGGTAGGTTTCTTAATTCGGACTTGAACCCACACCACAAGATTAATACACTTGAGCTCTATCGACTGAGCTAGGCGGGCATATACTCCTCCTATTCCATAAGAATAATTTATATATATATATATATAACAAAAAAAGTTATATTTTAAATTTCACAAGTCCATCTTAATCCCCGAAAAAAAGAAAGAAATAATTTCATAAAACAGGTACAAAAGTTTAGACAGACCCCATAGTTATGAGAAAAATACAAATCGGATCATAATAATAATTGGTGTTAAAAAGTTGACAAAGTTTTACAAGTCAAAACCTTTACTCTATGATTTGGTGAATTGAATAAGAAGTCATAAAAGCAAAACTGCACGTTTGTTATTTTCTTTCTCTTTCTTCATTTGTTTCTCTGTATATTATTTATTTCACTGCGTTGGTTTATCAGCATTCGTAGATCTTATCCCTAACATGAATCCTTCTGCGAGTAAATCCTAGAAACCTCGGATCGAATTCGGGTACTGAAGGTCCCGATAATAATTTAGAGGAATGTTTGCTTCTCATCACAGGCAGTGGTGGAGTAAAAAATATTGTTCAATAAGGACACAAAATAAACATATATCATTCAATCAATTTTTCTTTCATTTTATAAATATATACACGTGATTTGCACATTATTTGAATGTGAATTGTACATCACTAATGTCAATTATATATATTTATGCACAAATTAAAATAACATATCATAATCAAATAAATAAATATAATTGTTAGTAGTGATATTCTAGTTTTAAACTACAAATGACACATAGTAACTTAAAATGATAAAAATTTATGTTACTAACAACATATAAAATATCTAATGAGATTTGATTAAAAAATACGCGAATTAATTTTAAAATTTTTAAAACTATATACTATTTGTGTGATTTTTAAATTTAGTGGGGGCACATGGCCCCAATGCCCCATTGTAAATCCGCCACTGGTCGCAGGGCTCTGGTCCAAACTCCAACTACGTGAAACAAAAGCAACGGGAATATACATAAAACTCCATGTTTTAATGAAAAAAATTACAATCTACCCTAGAAGATATGCGGTATTATCAAAGTAGTCTAATTAGATCGCGACAGCGAATAAATATTTAGCTGGACTATGATTAGACTAGAATCACTAATCAGCCAGCCAGTTATGATATCCAAGGGATTATGTTGTTACGAGACAATAAGATAACAAATACTCTTTCTACTCAAGATGATAGTAATAGTTATTGTTATCAATTGAATGGGATAAATTACTTTATTAGTTACATACATTAATTTTAAAATATTGTAATTATTTTTATTTTGAGACAGAAAGAAAAATATATGAATCTCTTTTCATGAAAGAATATAGATATAGAAACCACAGATACATCATTGTTGAAATGTATATAACCAGTTGAATTTATATTTTTTTTCCAACAACAAAAGTAAAAATAATAACAAATTTTTTTCTCACTAGGTAGGGTTGATTAATTATATGGATTATGTATCGCCATCGTATTCGGTCTGTACATATAATAATTCACTTTTTATAAATCATAAATTGTATTAAATTAGTACAATTTATAATTGAGATAGTGAATTATTTTTATGTGAAGGACTTTAAAATTTGAAAAACCATATGTGCTAGCGGGAGAGAGGCAAAACTCCACTTCGTTTGACCAGAGCACAACAGTCAAACTAAATGGGCATGTACAAGCTGCCACCGCGCCTCTATTACATTGTAGTAGTAGTTTTTTCTTCTTTTTATTTTTTTTTATTGGGGGGAACTTTTTTAAGTTGAAATAGTCTTACTAATAAATTTAAAATACAATATATGTGCATAAAAATGAATTATTGGTCTCATATTTTCCCACTTATATGTTTTTTTCACACAGTAAAACTTTAGAATCAAAGGTCATGGGGTTGCAATTCCAACAGCACACCATGAAGACGTTACAAAAAAAAAAGGTACAATCTTTGGTGACTAAATAATAAACGTATACATAATACTACATGGCAGACTTTTATTGAAGTTCCATAGAGATCATCATCCTTGTACTAAATTCTTGTATGCATCCTCAAGTCCGGTTCGCTGACAATGTCGTCGACGCCCTAACACCGTCTCTCGAGCTATAATTGCCAAGGAATTATAATTGACAAAATTTCAACTTCGGGAAATGGCAATGGCAGAGAACAAAATCAACATCACTAGCAAAAGGATAGCAAGGAAAGAGCCACCCAGAGATCCGGAGACTCTTTCACAGAAAGAGTTGTCCCTTGGACATATAGCTAACCAATTTGCATTGGCATTTCCTTTATGGGCGAAATTCACAACCGCAGCTGCCGCCGAGGCTCCGGCAGTCAAAAATGCCATTATTACCTACATATATTTCATTAATGTCACAACAATATTATTATCTCCATTGAGTTTGTAACACATAATTAGGTTAAAAATAATTTGATACTCATTAAAACAGTTTAGCAGAGTAAATTATAATAGTATTTTTTTCTGAGACAAATTGAGTAAACTACATATATCGTGCTATGACATAAGTTAACAACGTTTACCGTGTCGAAAATGATAAGAACCACCCGAGTTGCTTTGGCTGTGCTCTTAAAAATGTGGAAGATGGATAAAATGAGAGAAAAAACCAGGTAGCCGCAAGCAATGCAATTGATGACCATTAGATACCTGCCATAGACATAAAATACATGGATGTCAATTATGCGTTTCAATCACGAGCATGTTACGATACTGTATTCCCTTTGTCCAAAAAAAAAAAAAAAAGTCCTTATTGAGTTTCATATTTTGTACTATTTTTAGTATAAATTTTAAAATTTAATGTGGATTATTTTTTTTAGGAGGAAAGCAATGGCAGAGCCAGAGATATTTTTTAGTAGGGGCACAAGACTAGCATATATCACTCAATCAATTTTTTGATAATTTTATAAATAAACATATACACGTGATTTGCACAAGTTTACATTTTATTTGCACGTAAATTGTACATGACTAATATAAGTTATATATATTTATGTACAATTTTAAATAATTAAGATAACATATCATCATCAAATGGATAAATATATTTGTTAGTAGTGATACTCTATTTAAACAATAAATGACACATAGTAATTTCAAGTGATAAAAATTTTTGTGAATAACAATATATCTAAAAATATTTAATTAAAAAATAAGTGGGCTAATTTTTAAAATTTTTAAAATTATATGTTATATTTACTATTCATGAAATTCAGTGGGGGCGTGCCCCTGTGTAAACCCGCCACTGGAGGAAGGTAATACTATGTACAAAAGAAAACGTCTAAAGAACTCACGTGAATGTGGGAAATTGACGGAATTGGTCTTTGAAATTAGTGAACTGCGAGAAACTTGGGGATGATCTATCACTAGTTCCCATGGCGACGGCGCTCCCAAGCGTAGCAATGGCGGCAACTATTCTCATGGCCAAGTCGATTTTGGAGATCCCTTTATTGGTTCCGGCTGCTTTCGACGTCGATTCTTTGTCCGACGCTGACTCGTCAACCTCCGGCATATCAACGGCTTCCACCTTCTTCTTTCTGAAAACCATGTCGCAAAGCTAGCTAGCTAGCTTCTTTCTTTCAAATATCGCCTGAAGGTGATCAATTAATTTCGAAGCTGTATCTTTTTTCTGATGGTATCAAGTAATAATGTATGATAAATGTGGTGAAGGATTAATGCAGATGTTAGCTGAATTTATATCAGTTGAAAGAACATAACATATATGCATGGTTGGTTGCTGAAGTGAAGGGTAAACTCCACTTTCGGTTTTGAGTTTTGACCAAATTAAGCTCAACGGTCAACTCATGATGGGAAAGTACCAAGAGCCACCCTATACGTGTAGTAGTTACTATGCCATTTCCAATATAAATATTTTTGTGATTATTGTCCTTTTTTTTTTAAATAATCACGTCGTCTAACCTCTCTTTACATACATAGATATATATGTGTGTATAAAAAAAATGATGTTATAACATGTTTTTTTCACTAAAAAAATAACTTTACAACTTTCATTGTTTCATGTATCGTATAATTAAGTTATACTTTCTCTTGAATTGATACTGAATTCCAGAGGGAGGGAAAGTTTGTTTTAAATTGAATATTTCATTCATCCTAAAATAATATACTTTCTCCGTCCTGAAATTTTTATCCAGATTGAATTTTTTTTCTTTTTAGTACAAACTGAATTAAAAGTAACATGCAAACTCGACAATAGTTTTGGGACGGAGAGATTACTATTTAATACTCTCTTCGTCTCAGAAAAATAGTCCACATTGAGTTTTTAGATTTATAATAAAACTGGTACAAATCTCAATACTCAATGTGGACTTTTTATTTTTTTAATTTTTTTTAGACTGAGTAAATAATAAACATGATTCTTATTTATAACGTATCCTAAACCATGTAAGGTATATGACGAGTATCTATTGTTTATCCTGAATTTTATACTTCTTCAACCCAAAAAAAATCTATATTTGTTGAAAATAAATAATTATCTTTCATACATAAAAGTAATAAGAAGTGAATGTAGCATTTGTTTCCTTAATGCTAATATTCCTAACGGATACATCAGAAATGCACTACTCCGCAGTTCCTTCTTTCCTTTTGCTTTGTTTACTCCCCTTTAGGCAGTCTCAACTCCACCATACAAATACAAATTGACACGAGGTTGACCTTTACTAATAATAATACCATTAGTTAATTGTTGACATTAGCCCATGAAGTAATCTCCCTGGTGCAGTAGTAACTGCACTTCAAGTCTTGGTCCAACAAACACTTTTTAAATTTTAGTCAATTTTCTTGTCCCAAAACTGCGTCAGTAATCTTTGTCAAAGCTAATTAAAATGGTCAAAACTCAAAAAGGAGAATTATGATTAAGGGCGTAAGAAAGATTAAAATTATTAACAAGGGCGTCAATATTATCAAATCATTATTTTGAATATTTAAATACTTTTTGTCTATTTTGACATAAAATAAAACTATTTTATCCTTCTAATTCCAAAGATAGAAGAGAAGTTACATCTACTTTCTCAACCATGGAAGAGTCTACCTATGAAAACTTCAATTTTGTTGCGGCCCTATCTTTCTCCTTTTCATCTACTCTAACCATCTAATTCTCTATCCTCCCCTAAAATTCCTAAGAACTATGACACAATTCCCCTATCCTCCAATGCGACAGTATTCAAAACTCTTATTTTTCTCAATAAAACTTTAGGGTTTTGAATTTTTTTATCATCCATATAGACTGATCTTTTATTGGTGTTTAATGTAGCAAATAGCTTGATACTTTGATTTTTTTTTATTTTTTTTTTCCTGTGTGGCTCTTAAGTGACTATGTTCAAGTCAATTTTCGAAGAGCAAGATTCCTTGCATTTCTGGGAGTCTTTTTTGTTGCGAGATGTATATTGGCCATAGCCAATAGACATCCACACCATGGACTGGGAGGATTGGTCTCTTCCTTCAAGAACTGTGAAACGAATTTGGTCTTCAAGGAAACGGCCATTTTCCATGAGCCAACCTCTCGACCATTGAAGCAAAATTTAGATCTGTGAAATATTGCCTTCACAATCCACGAATAAAGTGGATGTGCAAAACAGTGATGATGATTTTGCAAAATAATTTTTTTGTTTCAAAGTCCCAATCCATGAATAAGTTTAGGATTTTGATCATACCCATTACTAAAAGTTAAGCTTGTGAATTCTTCGCCTCACACGAGAGCATATATCGTGAGTAAGTAGAAGGAGAACTGGAAGACAAAAAACAGTCGATTTCTTGTTGATGATTTAAAAAAGATAAAGTAGTCATTCCAAAGATAGAAAGATATTAACATTAATTAATATTCATTTAAATTAATAAAAGAAGGCTCATGCCCTTGTTAATAATTTTTATTTTTTCAAATGCCCTTAATCATAATTCACCCAACTCAAAAATCTCTAAACAAACAAAAGGATATTCTTGTTTCAGACTTTTGGAATCCATTGGGCCAAAGTATGTATTCATTTGCTTTGATTTAGGCCTCCAACATTAGAGTCTCTGTTCTTGAGAGCATCCGCATTGCGGCGTAACTGGCATTGTGAATTGCACTAGTTACGCCCACTTTTACTCCACAGCATTGTGGAGAGTATTTTGCTCATATCATTTTTGAAGTGGCCGTATTTTGTCCATTTTTTTCCCCTCTTTCTCTCTCTCTAAAAAAAATCTGCTCTGCAATTAACTAATTCTCAGTAAAGACTCACATCCACCTCCGGTCCAAATAGATACGGAGATTGGAGAAATACCCCCTACCAACCACGATAAGGATAATCCGGCAACAACCAAAGTCAAAATCTGTGAAAACCAGCAAGGAACAGAGAACAACACGAGTCAATCCCAACCCGATTCCCAGCCAAAATTTACAAAACCAGTTGATGGAATACCATCTTTCATAGACAGACTCCTTCAAGGGCAACAGAGCCAATTTGCCAATGGATTCCACATGACTACAGTCACAGTGGAAGAAGATGATGTTACTTACGGAGTTGAAGATGGACTCCCCTCAACCAGGATCTCCGACAGAGTCCAAATACAAATGAACACAACAATGACATATACTGTTGCGGTCAATCCCCTGGGTATGGATCAGGCACGATCGCCTCCACAGACGTCTCAAAGGTCAAAGGTGAGGTTAAGCCAGTTGATTATGTTGATAGATATCACTTCCTCCAACTTACAACTGAAGAAGATTACTACACCGCGTTACTCAATGGCCCCTGGTCCCTTGACGAGCACTACATAATTGCCCTCCCATGGACGGAGGGCTTCAACACAAAAGAAGAAAACTTAAGTGCTGTCCCAACCTGGATTCGCATGCCTGGCCTTCCGATCAAGTACTTCCACATTGATCTACTCAGGAGTCTTGTTGGACCAATGGGAAAATATATAAAGGCTGACCGGAATACTGTCACCGTTGAACGTGGCCAGTATGCAAGAATAGCCATAGAATTGGACTTAACCAAACCGCTTACAGGTAAAACAAAGATCGACGGGAAGAAATATACAGTGGAATACGAAGATCTACAGATGATATGCTACTCCTGTGGGAAATACGGCCACTTCAAAAACGATTGCAAACAATTTCCGGTGACGCCATCACCGGAGAAGGACACAACCAGTCCAAACAAGGCGGGACCACCAACAGAAGGCAACAACGGTCAGTCAGGCACACCATCAAAAAATCCAACGGACCAAACTGCCACGGACTTGAAAGCACAGCCCCCCGATGCAGCAACGGTCATCAACCATAGGTGAGTGGAGTCACGCGCTGAGGAGGCCCAAACGCACGCCGACAAATCCCTGGACAAGTCGATCTAAACCACCGGTCTCTAATGTCCCTCAAGGCCTGCTGCACAACCCTTTTGCAGCGCTTGCCGGTATGGATAAGGAACCGAACGGAGAAGCTTCCACATCCGGCACCAAATTTTTTCCAGCCGACAGACCACCACAAAAAAACCACTTTAGACTGGAATCACAAACAAGGTACGTTCAGTTTTGGCAAAACATCTCCACAAAACCCCAAACCAAGCACCACCAAAAAACCTAGCCCAACAACTACGACCCAAGTCCAATACAGCATATCCAATAAAAGAAAACTTGAAACCATCACAAGGGAAAATCCTGGACCAAAAAGACCACTAAGACCACATGTGACCCAGAACCGATACCCACAAGTAATCCCAGCCCAATCACCAAAGAAGCCCCATCTGACAAACCCAGCCCAATAGCCAACATATCAGACTCCACCCCAGTCACCCAAATAGAATCATACACACATAACCACACTGTAGCCCAGATCCCACACCCCAAACCACCATCCCTAAAATCTAGAGAGCCAAACGACCTAGTACACACCCTACCAGATCCAATATCACCTTCACCCACCACAGGCAAACCCCTTGACCCAGCCCAGGCCTTTTTTCTAAAGCCCAAACTTAAAATCCAACAACCAAAACTAGACGAGCAAATCCACCCAAGAAGAAGGCACTTTGATTAGTGAAGAATCAGGATTCATGCAAATAGACAATATCAACAGCACAAATGTCGAAAGCTCCAATCCTGAAAGCTCAAATTCTCCGGCAGATGAAGAGATCCTACCGGATGCCGGTAGGTAAGTCTCTTCCCAAATCATTCGTAGTTTAATTATGAGTACACAAATAATGGCATGGAACACGTAAGGAATTGTGAATGAAAATACAATTTCTGTCCTTAAAAATTTGCTCAAAATTTATAAAGTTCATCTACTAATTTTGCTTGAACCTAAAACCCGTGGAACTATAGCAATCAGAGTAATAAAAGAACTAGGTTACACTAATTAACACAGAATTGAATCCGTCGGCTTTGCCGGAGGAATATGGATGCTTTGGAACGATCCTATACATGTTATGATTCTAGAAAATAACTAACAATTTATACATAGTAAAGTGTCTTTCCAGAACAACCACCATTCCTATGTCACCATTCCTATGTCACCATTCCTATGGTAGCCCCCAAAAGCTAACAAGGCGTACATTGTGGGACGATCTTGATCGAATTGCAGGTACGACGGCTGAATCATGGATTGTACTAGGAGACTTCTACGCCATCACAAGTGAAGCAGACAAAACAGGAGGTAGAC